CAAAACATCAAAGATCGTCAAAATCAAATGCTTTGCGCATTCTTAAAACCAAAAAAAATCGCAACGCCATTAAAGGAAACAGTCTCAAAACTGATTGGGGCAAAAAAAAGGTTTGGAATAGAAGAAAAATACGACGGGGTTAGGTGTTTTTTGTTCCATGAAAAAGGCAAAGGTATAAAAACACTGAGCAGAGTATTTAAGAATATAACACTACCTGATGAATTGTCGGCTGAACTTGCTCAATTTCTTGAAATATTAACAAAAGTGTTGGAACAAAATGGCATTGCTACAGAATTCATGTACTTGGATGGAGAAATATACAACAAACACATGAAGCATGAAGAAGTTTCTGGTCTCTTAAAGATATTAAACACTACAGGTAATATTTGTGACAACAATCCAATTGAATTGTATTATATACTATTTGATATTGGAATTGGTGACGCATATTATTTTGAACGAAGAGAACTTTTAAAAAAAGCTTACACCGTGTACTGCGAAACCAATACTCCAAAATATTTGCAATTTTTAACTAATTGCATTTTTAACTGCACAAGCACTGAAGCTGTTCAATTTTACCAAGATGTAATAGATAGCGGCGGAGAAGGTGTAGTATTAAAAGTAAATGAAAAATTGTGCAGTTTTGCCAGTGCAACATGTTACAAGTTCAAACCTAACCTTGACAAGAAATTTTTGTGCATAGATTATGAATGGAAATACAGAGGTGCCCTTCCGAGCAAACTGATATTAACAATGCAAACTGGTAATCAAACATTCAAAAGTACCTTGAAWTTGTTAGAAGAAAAAGCTTTGGCATTGTATGAACAGGTCGAAAGCGGCAAATTGTTGTTAAAAAATACATACATAAACATTAAATTTAACATATACACCACAAACGGCATACCTAGTTGTAGCGTCCCAGAAATTGAGTTTTACTAACACGTATGGGCCAAATGATCTTTACAAAAGCACCGGAGAAACATATTATGATGAATACACTAGTTTAAAACAATTCCATATTATTGAAACTTTCCCCGAAATAAAAACCACATCACAGCTGCAGTTTGTTATTCCAAGAAAATACTTAGGATTTTCGCATATAGCATTAAAATATGTCGCAAAAAACAAAGACGATAAAGACATTAATTTGTCAATTAAAAACGTGAAATTGTCTGTTGGAAATGAGGTAATTGCAGAATATTTTGGGTCTTAACCATTTAGTAATTGCTGAAAAAGACAATTATTTCAAAGCGCTTAGGTTCATTCCAATATTAATCGACTCTTTGTTAAATGATGATTTTTTTACCCAATATCCACTAGTAGCTGAGGAAAATCTGAAGTATGTCTTAGAAATCTTGTTTACAGGTGAAGATGAAGGCGTCAAACTACAAGATGCGTCATTGTCTATTACATACATAGAAGACGCTTTTCATAAGCCTATGGTGGAATTCCTTCCGGCTCTTAGGTCTTTCGAGTTCGAAAATTTAAAAAGCAGCCACCTTAGGATCCCACACATAGCAGGTGGTATCACTAAAATAATATTATATTGCGAAGATGGAATTAACTGCCAATGCTCGGCACCGGCCAACAACGCCAAAAACTTGGTAATGAGCTTAGATTTTGTTGAGTTTTTCTTAATAGAAAAAAWTTTTGCATCAATCGATGAATGTGAAATTTTGTTTCCTTACAACAAAGGCAAGGAAGGACACAAAAAATGTTTTTACATAAACTTAAAACCAGTAAATGCTCCATGGTCTTTTGGGTTAGAGTCAAGTGACAAAATAATGTCATTTCAATGGCCAAACAATTGTAACAAAAAAAAAAAGTAAGTATATTTACTCTAATTCATTTCGATGGTAAACGTTTTATCCATAAAATTGAAAAGAAGAAAAATGGTGAATAATTAAACTATTAATTAAGCTGTGTTTTTTTTTTTTCAATGCAAAACTCATTAAACCGTCATATTCGTAGTTTTAAGTAGTTTACGTGGCACGTACTCAGGATGTTCTAAGAGAACGAGAGCGCTGTCAAAGAGAAATTGTCGTTTTCGATCCAAACTGCTTCTGTCGATTTTAAGAAGGTTTTCTTTTTTGACAAAATCTAGTGTGACCAAGTACCTCACTGCCCAGAAAGAACACGAAATATCTAATCTTTCAATATCATCTTGTACGGAATAATCAACCCCCTCCCTAAGGTTCTCCTTAAATTCGTTCAAAGTGGTAAATTGTTCAGGACAGTTTAGTATGCCAATTTTGAAATAAGACATTACTCTTCTCATCCAATCACCACTTTCCAGGTTGGTTGTTTTTTCAAACATATCTTCTTTGTATTTTTGAAAGCTGTAAGTTTTCATGTATTCATCGTAATCCAATTCCCCTCCAGCGCGGTATCTTGTGCGAAGCATGACATCGACCTGTACTTTTTGGGGTTTGTTTTTACCTGTGCCTGCAGCTGCATTTTTAGCATTATTTATGATAATACGTTCAGCTTCGGCTGCATTTCCGATTGCACCTTCTGATTCATCGTCAGCTTCGTCTTCAGCTATATCCTGAGTATCATCTTCACGATTTACCTCTGATTCATCTTCAGTGTCATCTTCTGATTCATCTTTAGCGTCATCTTTAGCATCATCTTTAGCTGCATCTTCAGATTTTGCCTCTGTTTTTACCTCTGATTTTACCTCTGATTTTGCTTCTGATTTTGCTTCTGATTCATCTTTAGCATTATCTTCAGCTGCATCTTCAAATTGTGCCTCTGATTCATCTGTAGCGTCATCTTTAGCAYCATCTTTAGATTTTGCCTCTGATTTTGCTTCTGATTTTACTTCTGATTCATCTTTAGCATCATCTTTAGCTGCATCTTTAGATGTTGCTTCAGTTTCATCTTCAGATGTTGCAACAGCATCAGATTCGTCTTCTGATGTTGGTTCAGTATCAGATTCATCTTCGGACCGAACTTCACTGGTTTCTTTGTTATCAGTTTTAACTTCTGCTTCATCCTCTACCATTGTAACATCAGCTTTGTTGCCTTCTTTTTCAGTTTAAAGTTCGTCTTTTGCTACATTGTCCAGTTCTTTTGTGGTTTTGCTGTTTTTTTCATCCATTGTTGCACGAATTATTTTGCAAATTTCCAAGACCATCAACCGCCTTTTGCTTAGTTGTGTTAAGTTGATGGACGAATCAGACGGATCTTGTGCACCAACTTCAAGAGTTGACCTAAGAATGTACCTTATTGACCAAAAATAACAAGTGACATCCAGTCTACTAATTTCATTGTTTTTTTTCAAAATTTTTTTGTTTTCATGAATTTTCTCTTGTTCTGTGTCAAATTCTTTGTCTTTAGTAAAATCCTCTAATTCCAAAATTTCAGTAGCACATTTGTGCACTGCAATGTCGTAAAACAAAACAACACCTTCTTTCCACCTGTGCTTGGACTGGTTGCTGAACTTTCTAAACACAAAATCAAAATAATCAACAAGGTCAAATTTTCCCATCAACCGCTTGTAATTCCTTTGAGCCATGTTTTCTGGCACGCCCCTATCAATGCCAAACCTTTCGTAAATGTCCGGCTGAGCATCCATGTTCCTTACTGCAAATATTGAGTATTTATGGAAATTTTTGAACTTTTCAACACCTTTTCCAACTCGTACAATATATTGTCAGAAGTTCTTGCGTTGTTAACAAACTCAGAAGTTAACTCTAAACATTTAATAATGATTTCGTTAAAAATAAAAAACTTGGTGTTTTTGTCTGAAAAATGAACCGTTGTGAACAGCCTTTCATCCATTTTTGGTTTTAGGCTTTTCTTTTTCAAAAATGACAACACTTCGTCATTGTTGCCTTTATTGGTTTTGCCTTTTTGTCCTATTACGAATTTGTCAATTTTTTCTTTTTTGAACATCAGATAATAGTTTACGACTTTGAGTATTAACATTTCTGGCTGCACATTTGAGGCTTTGGCCCCAGAACTTAAGGCAGATCTTACAAATAAAGGCAAATTGTTCAAATAAAGCTCATTAAATTGCTCACTGAATTTCGACGCCTTTTTCCAAAATGGCAAAGAACTGTCCGACAAGTTTACTTTGTCAACTTTCTTGTAATAGTCGCCTCCAATGTGGTGTATGTACACTGTTCTGTTGCCAACGTCATCTAATGCTTTTACTTCTTCTAAGCGCTTAAAATAATAAACTTCGATCTTTTGACTATTTGCCAATTCAGTTGAAGCCCACACGTCGCTTTTAATGACGTCATTTTCAGTAATGTTTTTTTTTGTTTTAACTGAACCTTCTTCAAATATAAACAATTGGGACCATTCACTGATAACAAACAAACTTTCGCATTTTATGCAATAATAATTTTTTCCCATCGGATTTTCAAAACTTAATTCAAAAGCTGACTTTGTTATCTTTTCCAATTTGCCATTTAAGATGCCAAGCATAAAAGATTTTAGTAAATTTTCATATTTTAAAATTTGCCATTGTCCGCCCATTTTCAATTGTGGTAACATGTCGTACTTAAATGACTTATCCATGTTCGTAAATTCTGCAAGTCCTACACCATTTACCAATAGAAAGGTTTTTTACAATTTATTCGATTTGCTGGCTGAAATTTTAAGCAAAACAAGTGAAACCAAGGGCTGTACTTATGATAGTTCGCAATTATGTAACATTTTTCAATACATGACCCAAAATAAAAGATTTGTGAATGCTGTAGAAAATTGGGCAAACACAAACTGTTACTCATGTGTTCCAAACTTGGACAAGCATCTAACTGTTTTGACAATTCCAACAAATTCAGAAATATATGGTGAAAATTGCACGTTTGCCGATTTGTGCAAATTAAAAAATATATACACAGTAAAAGATTTATTGAAGCAAGTTGGAATTTATAGGCCTTTTGTCCATGTGGACTTTAAAAACCCAAATGATTTGCTAAAAACTTCACTAAATAACATACCTTACGATTTTTATGAAATGATTAATAGAAAAAACATTAAGAATTTTAGGCGTTACTTGTATGGTGGATTTTACAAGGATGACCTAAAAAAAACAAAGAAATACACCCTTCACTGGTCAGCATAATTTATGCCTTTTTCTACAAACATCAAAGTATCGCAAAAAAAGACCCGTTAAAGTTTTGTAACATGTTAATTGATGAAATAAAGTCGTCAACTTGGCAAAACAAAAAAACGTGCATGAACCCAATTACCATGAACTTTGTTGACCAATTTGTTGAAAACGTTCCAATAGTGACCGATGCTTCAGGTTTGACAAAGTATGACCCTAATGGCGTATTAAGGGTCGAAGTGGATATTATGACGAATCAGATTTGGAAATCCCAGATGAAGAACTTTACAGCCTTACTGGTTYAAAAAAACAAGACCTTTATAAGTCTTTTGATGGGGTAAACGATTTTGACTTATTGCTAAATATTGCAAAATCAAAGTCAAAATTRGCTTCAACGGTCAGAAGGTCTTGGTTGCACGACATTAACAAAATCTCACTTTGCACTGAAATGGGGCCGTTAAATTCTGTAAGCACAATGAACTTCCTTGCAAGGTTTGCCCAAGAGTCGAGCAATTTTTCATTTGTCAACTTTGTCCAAAAAGAAGATTTTGACGGTACCGTCGACCTTTGGCTTAATGAAAAAAAGAACCATTTCATCCTTGCTTTGTTAGAAGAAGGCGGGTGGTTTCATTGGTATGCCATGGGGCGTTATACCAATAGCGATGAGGTTATATACTTTATCGATTGCTCTTTTAATACTGAAAGACAACTTTACGCAAAACCCTTAACAAATTTATTACTTAAATATTTTAAAGAAACTAATAATAAAAAGCAGTTTAAAGTTCCAATTATTCAAAATCAATTTGACGGGAACCACTGTGGTTATTGGGTAATTTTGGTTGCATATTATATGTGCAAAGAAAATTTCCCTGAGATTTTAAACCTATTTACAAAGTATTACACAACTGACGAATTTTTGCGAAAAATTAACGAAATATTTTTAAGACTTTAACATGTTAACAGCATTGATAAGCGTTTTAATAATAATAATATTAGTAGCAGTTTTTGCTATCTACTATAAAGGCGTCGAAGGACTGCAAGAAATGTTTTATAAAGATAAAAATTTTATAAGCCCATCTGATTCTAAAAAATGAGATAGTAATAGCAACGTTTTGCGCAAAAAAAAACAACGTACAATTAATAATTTACATTAAAATATTATGAGAGGATGTCAGCAAACATCAAACAATTAGTGGCAAGCTTCAAAAAATCGATTTTGCTCATACTTTTAATGTTGTTAGCCTATTATGTCCCAATCATCATGGTGTAGTTTATTTGTGAAAATATATTTTTGCTTTTGAGAAATAAGCATTTTCCCCGGAACGGGTAAATATGCTAATTAGTAATGCCTAAAGTTGGCCAACTTCAGCGACATCATGTAACGAAACTATCTAACCTTTGGTATTGATAACACGATTTTCTTATTGCCTATTATAAGTTCTTCGTTCACTGTTATTGTTGAAGATTTCACTGCAATGTGGAATTTTCTACGAATTTTTTCATCGGCCATACTTTTTCCTACTATAAAAGTAGCCTCAAAACAATGGTCATTTAAACT